AGTGTAAGCTGTTCATAAATGTTAGTCATCCTTTTCATTAGAAATTAGCAATGTTGTTGATACATGCCATCAATTCAGCTGAGACCCGTACTGACCCTATGAACACAATTCTTATGCTAATTATAACTAACAATAGGTATGTGAAAATTCTTTATTATAAACACACACACACAGGCAACTATTAAATCCTAATTGCTTTCTTCATCCTTTTATGACTTTTACTCAAAAACAATTGAAAAGAAGACTAAGCCTGTGGTTATAAATAAACTCTAAAAAATGGCATTTAGGACCTTTTTTTTTCCTCTCAATGTCCTTCAATTTTCCAGAAACTGAATTATATGTGGAATATAAACAACAATAAAATTAGATTATCCTGTTTCTATTGACTACAGAATATTTTACCACAAATATATAAGTTTAACCTTTAAAAATGCAACCTCAAACCATAACTTCATACATTTTCACCAGTTGATAAATATTTCTTCTAAATAAGATTTCTTAAAACTACTCTAACTGGATATGTTTTACTAAATTAAAATTAGAGTGAGAAATAGAACAAATTCAGGATCTATTATTAGATCTAAGCTTTTGTAAAAGTGATAAAACAATTTGGAAATAGCTTCTTATAAATTTGTAAAACTGAATTTGCTTATTAACCTTAAATATGCAACACCAATCAAATAAGTTTTTGAATGTAGAAAATGCACTCACCTAATTCAAAATTTTCATGATCATCTTTGAAATCTGATATACCAATTCAATATTAACATTCCAATTACCATCAAAATTCCTGAAACTACTTTTGTAGTGATGATTCCAACTACATCTATGTTGGTATTTCTTTAAGATGAACTAATGTGTTTGAAGACAAGTTCAAGCATTTTGGTTTTGTTTTTTAATTTTTTTAGTTTGCATCTAAATTTGTAACTGCAAAGAATTCAGAGTCCACAACTTTACTCCCTCACACCTCTTTCTCACCTTTCCCTGCTCAGCACCCCCACAGACAATCAAAAATAAACATTCAAACCAGCAATATAGGAACTGACCAACCTTTGGCTCCAATGGACCTTAAACAACCAGAAAAAACAAAGATGGAAAGAATCACTGCTTTGCAAACAATGCCTTAATTGGGTGCGTAAATAAAAATCCTTTTACCTCCACAGCCCTGAGTCTTTCTGAAAGGACATTTCCCAATGGCTTCACACACATAAACAACACAGATATCAACACCAGGCATCCACCAAATAGAGGCTAAATGCATCCCCAAACATTAGAAGTCTTCTCTGGTCCAGTTCTTTAATTGCCGTCTAATAGGAAAATCACCACTAAAAGCCCCATTTCTTTTCAGGGAAAAGAAAACAAAACAAAAAAAGCATGCTCCAATCTCTAATATGAAATACCTATTTCACTGTGTCTAGAAGGCTAAGAGAAAGAATGAAAAGACAGTCAACAGTTGGTATATTTATACATTAATCTAATCTAAGCCACTCTTTAATTGTTTTCTAGTACCTAATACATTTATTCATGCCCTTGGAATCATGTCACTTCTAACAATGTCATTCTTTCTCAGTGCATGCCAAATATTAATTTATGCTACAGTTTTATATTTTACCAATTTTTATTTTATAGTTCAAAGAGATACACGCTGGGTAAAATCCACAGTTAAATGCAATGATAACAGATCACAGCAAACTTGGAAGAGTCTAAAAATGTGAATAGTTGAAAGTTTTCAAATATGAAATAGTCCAACAACTATTTTAACTGAAGAACATTTCATCTTAGACATTAAAAAAGCCCTGTATGTGAGACTGTAACTCGGTGTCTTTCTGTCTTTATCCCTTAGATGAACCATGAAAATAGGCACTAGCCTGTAAGTACAAAACCTACAAACACTGAGTCTTATGATAATTTGGCAGCCGACCTAAGAAGAAACTTAATATTCTCTGCCTCTCCATTCCATTCCCTTCTTGTTTGTTCTTCTGATGAAGTTATGGTTTTTGATACAGGAGATTTTCATGTTTTCTTAGCCTCATTATAGGGACAAGTGGTGGCAGGAAGTAAAAAATGGCTCTGAGTAGAAGACAACCTACAGACAGGCAAAGCCAACAATTATACAAACTAAATGGCACTTTTGTTGACCTAATTAAGGAAACGACTTTCCCACTGTGTTGGAGATAAGTTTTTAAAATATAAATCATGGCATTTATAACTTGCAATATTTGCTGTGGAGTTGGAGGAGGTAATTCACAGTTTAAAGATTATTTTACATTTTAATGGATATCTTGTTTTCCACTCCTCTAATTCATTAGGAAATACAGGTAGTTTTCAACTAATCAAGTTTTTTAAAAAGGACCAAACAATCCAAAATGATTACATTGCAGGGATGTTTGCCAAACAGTAAAGAATTCTAAGTTAAAACCGAACCCCTTTGGTGGTGACCAAAAAGGTGAAATAAGCACATTCTAGATCATATTAGTAACACAATAAATTGATCTCACAAACTTAATAACAATCCAGAACTTTCTAAAATTGTTTGCATCTGTGTTAACATTCAGCATAGATTATGAAGAAATCTTCCATCCATATTTTCAAACTATATATACCAAAATAAAGCTGAATGTCCCAGTAGATTGATTAAAATTCCATCTATTCTTTACTTTATATAAATATCATCTAACTTTATTTTCTAATTGTCACAACTCTCAAAAATTACAGAAATAAAGAATGCCTGAACATAGGGAGCAATGGTGTGTTTGAAAATACTCATTTCTAAAACATAAGATAATTAAGTTATTAAGCTGACTTTCAGTATAAAGAATAATTTCTAAGTATTATCCTGGCTGAATGGATTTACAAATTGCATACGCATCTAAAGTCTTTCTTTTATTTTGATTTCATGTTAGCCATGAAAAATTCTTATACAGCACAGTATTCGTGAACATAATGGAACATCAAATTGTTAAGGGTAAATATTAAAAAATATTATTAGCACTCCACATACACTTAAAAACTACAACGCACATCACTAAAACAATATCATCCAAGGGCAGTCCACAAACACATTTTCCATTTTAATTCTCATTTTGTAAAAGATAGTTCTCCAGTAAAACGACGAGATGATGAAAACATCTTACTCCTATGTAATTTCTTCAAACCCAACATCCTAGTAATGATAAAACCAGCTTCTACCCATCTCACAGTTATTCCTACCTCCCAGGTACACTGGTACAGTGCATTAAGAATAGTTAGCTTTTTTAATACAGAAATTCTTTTTTTATGGTAATAGAAATGACTATTGAAGGCTGAACCTATGGCCCCTTCAGGCTCTGTCAGTGACTGCTCTGGCTGTCCGCAGCTCTCACTCTGCACAGACCTCTGTGCAGACCTGAAATGGTCTGTGGAAATGTGTGCAGCCCTCAGCCTACAACTCTCAGAGGCCATGTTTTGTTTTGTTTTGTTTTTCTTCTGAAGGGAAAGCCCAAAATAAGCAAAAAGAAAACGAACTGTATCTTAGTTACTCTATGAAATGTATTTAATCAGAAAACTTGCTTTTCTATAAAATGACTAAATGTCATTTTGATTTATTATCTATTGGGAAGAAAAGAACGTCAACTACAAGAACTCCACGTCATCAAAAGATCAAAATTTTGCTACACCAGCAAAGTTTTTACTTTTCCTAGTGGCCATTTTTCCTCAGCAGCACAAATGAACGCATTTCTTTTAGCAGCAAACACAGAAAATTAGCATTTAGAGCAATGATAGTTGATAGAAAAGTGAAGGTGTCTTGTAACAGGAACACCTAATTTTGTATTTGCTGTAAACTGTGTAACTTTAGTAGTTTCAAAAGGCATTACTGATTT